GTAGTATCAGTTCTGCTTCTTATAGTGCGATTCTGACCCAACCCCCCCAAACACGACAAACCCTTTGTATGTCCACCCATAAAGCATTGTGCGTCTGTTATCAAGTTGCCAGGGTGAGGAAAGAGGGGGGAGTGCATTCCATGCATACCTTTGGCTAGAGTCGGATCTCAGAATACTACAGCAGGCTTGGGAGGGGCGCACCTCGTTGGAGAATGTGATTTATGACACAGACTGAGGGGAGGGAAGAAACAGGGGGAAAGTTCAGCCATAATTTAAATGAGGTTAGATCTGACTGCAATGGGGTATTACCAAAATGGTGTTCCTAATAAATGACTGGTTTTCTTTTGAAACTTGGCTTGAGGCTCATGAATTAATTAGGGCATCTTTCAGAAACCTGACACCGGGTTACTAACTTAACAATTTCGGTGATTCACTTAACAACCGTGACGAGAAAGGTTGTAAAAATGGGGCAAAACTCAACAAATGTCTCACTTAACAAGATAAATTTTGGGACCCATTGTGGTCGTAAGTGGAGGACTACCTGTATTATATGGTCTGTATTATGACTGCCCCTTAAGCTTTCTGACCTCCTTGCCATTTTTTTTGCCTGGCCTTGCTTTGGATGCGACTCCCATCCCATCCTCATCCCAGGTTTGCTAACCTTCCTGTGTTTCTTCCAACCCCCAATTCCAGGTGCGCCTTTTTGCAGTCCTCTTAAAACTTACCTGCCACCAACCAGATGGAGAAACGCAGCCAGGTCATGTAGCTGAGCTTCAGCATGAGGAAGAGGTTGATGAAAATACTCAGGGCAGGCGTCAGCGGTACCAGAGGAAGCTGGAAAGGAAGGAGGGCAGGGATCATAGAATCCTAAGACTCGAAGGAACCTTGAGGTCTTCTAGTCAACCCCACCTGCCCCATGCAGGAGTTCTTACTCCTTTACAGACCAATGGTGGTCCAATGTTTTCTTAGAATCCTTCAGTCATTGAGCACCCAAGAACCTCTGGAGATAAGACGTCCCATTGATTCATTGTTCTCACTGTTAGGAAATTTCTCTATATCTCTATGACAGCTATCATGACACACCTAATTCTTCCCTTTGTTAGGCTAGACATACCTAGTACCGGATCTAATCTGGGTCGGTCGCCAGAACCAGAATTTTTTTCTTCTGAGCTTTTGCATTCATGCTGGAGCCCATCCTCAGGAAACTTCTCTGTGCGCATGTAGAAGTTTCCCAAAAATTGATTCCAGCACAAGTCCAAAAGTTTGGATGAGAAACCTCTGGTGCCGGCCATCCTGCAACATTATCCTGGGACATGTATATTCTCCTTCATTCATGATACTTAGTACCCTTAGCCGTTCATCCTATGGTTTATCCTTCAGATATCTTATTTGTTGCTCTTCTGTTCTGACCTGGCTCCCCAAACACGACAAACCATCTGTAGTTAAATAAATGTTCCTTTTATTAGGAATGCCAGCAGCCCCGGCAAAAGATTTCTCTCTCACCGCAGGCTAACAAGTTCGATGGCAGGGAAATGAATAGCTGTCTACCACATCTATTCATCTCCGCCCCCTGCCTTTGATCCCCAGAGTTAGGGTGGAGCTTTGCTAGCAGCGGTGGTTCTTCTGTCTCAAAGACCAGCCCATATATTTCCACTGTTCTCCTCTGCCTTCTGCACATCTGTGCATCTGGCACTGTACCCAGCTGATCCTTCTCTTCCTCATTAGCCACCTCCAGACCTGGGGGGTTGCTGACTCTCCATCTGAGGGCTGAACAGTCCAGGCTCCTCCTCCTCCTCCCTCTCCCCTCCCACTCCCTCTCTCTCAGCTCCATTCCTTCTTCCCCCTCGAAGCTCTCAGGTTGCCTTGCTGCTGACCCTGACTCCCACACCTCCTCCTACTCATCTGATTCGGCTGCTGGAGGGGCCGGTGGCCGACAACATCTTCTCTACACTCTTTCTAGGGCCTCAGGGTCTGTTTTGCATTGTGCTGATCAGAACTGAATGCAGCGTCCCAAGCATAGTCTTACCAGTGCAGCATAAAATGTTAACTTCACATCATCTCTGAAGCTCGCTATCTATTGACCAGTCTAGGACTGCATTGGCTCTTTTGGCAGCCGCAACACACTGCTGGCAGAGAACCAGAAGGCTGGTTAGGGCTGCCTGGGAGACTCCCAACAGATGTGCAAAAGGGTTTTGATACCTGAAGGGGTCTTGGCACAAGATTTGGCCCATCATGGTTTGACAAACAATGAGGTTGCCAGGTCTGCAGCCATCTTTACTTTTGGATCTTTGGCCTGCCACACTTTCTATTACTCTACTATGCATTTTCTATTGTGGGAAAATGGGAGGGGGGCTTGTAAAGAGTTAGATGACATGTAGCCATAACAAAATTCTTTCTAGGAAGACAAGGTCATCCTTTGTCTTTGCACCTCTACACCTCACTGGAACTGGGTGGGTGGAATTGCCAGCATGGCAGTGGAAGATTGAACCATGTGATGGACTTGTGGGTATGGGGGCAGGATCTTGAACTTTCAACTAGGTGGGGAAAACCGGGAAGCTTTCAGATTCGGGTTTTCCCAGATGTGCCAACATGGCTTTCTTCATAAATTGGAACTTTGGGGAATCTTTTGCCTTGCACTCCGATTTAATTTTGGATGCTAATTGGAACCCTGAGACAGGTTTTGTCTCCCGAAAGAGATAAAAACCTTATTTACAGAAAGCAGCAGCCGGGAACTCCAAAGGAAGTGATGAAAGGCCTAAACTGAAGCTGCACTTTGGATACAGTGTTCGCACAACATGCTCTCCTAAAGTTAAACCATGTTACTCATTTTGATGGAGAAAACCTATGTAGTCACTGAACGATTTGGTAGCACTTAATCAACCGTGGCTCAATACAGAGTTAGAACCAACCCATAAGGCCTGGGGCATCATCAGCCAGGAAACTCTCCCAATCTCTGGTGGCTGGACTGGAGGACTTGTGCCCCAACCCTGCCAGGCAACCACAGCCCAATTTGAAAACAGATTTCCATGCAGAGGTTCAACTTGGTCAGCCTTAAGGGCAGCCTTCTCTGGCCCAGCTGTGTTTGGGGAAGATGATGCATTTTCCTTACCCTCCCAGTTCACACCCACCTCCTCTTGCATCAGAGCACAGCAACTGCCGAGCCCGCCTGCCTCACCTGGAAGGTCTGGGAGGTTGGCTTCTGCTCATGGACACCAATGAGGACAAGGCTGCCCGTGAAAGCCAGGCTGGAGAGCAGGATGAGCAAGGCGTAACTCCAGGTGGGCAGGTGCAGCTGTGTCTTTCCAAAGACCAGGATGGATGCCAAGCAGAGGGCCGACACCATGAGGACAACCACGGCCACGGTGACCACTTCACCAGGGTAGAAATCACTGAGGAACTCCAAGTAGGGTTCGAAGGCTGCCTTCAGCTGCCCTGGTTCACGCACCCTGCCCGCTTTCTCTTTGCCCACCAGCTGCAGCTTATCTGAGAAAGACTCGTATTCTTTGGGTTCGGCAGCGCCCACAGGCTCAGCCGTTGCTTGGATGGCCTCGCTCCTCCCGGCGGCCTCCTGAGCTTCCGTCTTGCCTTGCTGGAAGCGCAGGATGATCACGCTGGCTGCGACAAAGGTGTAGGCCAGGAGTGTGCCAATGGAGAGGAACTGGACCAGGGCCTCCAGGTCAAAGATGAGCGAGAGGACAGACATGAGGAAGCCGAACACCACGATAGCCACCACGGGCACCTTCGTGCGGGGGTGAACGCGGGCAAACACCTGGAAAAAGAGACCGTCCTCGGCCATGGCGTAGACAATCCGAGGCAGGGAGAAGAGGTTGCTGAGGAGAACGGTGTTCATGGCTGAGGAGGAGAGACACATTGGTGGTCACAGTGGGCCCCTGAGACGATTGGGGAGTGTTGCAGAAGGTGTTGATGGTGCTTGCAGGGAATGGGACAACTCACCATGGCCAACTCGCTGCAGCCAACTCACCGCGAGACAACTGGTTGAAGGACAATTTAACAATTCTATTTAATTGTTTAAAGTGAATAAAAGTCATTTTAATTTTTGCCATTGGAGTGGTGCGGTGGCCTAGAGGTGAGGCTCTTGCCTCACAATCAGGAGGCTGTGGGTTCAATCCTCGGTAGAGGCAGATATTTCTCTTTCTGGGCACGATGGGAATATATCTACTGAACAAAACTCTGCATCAGCAACAAGGAGGGCATCTGGCCACTAAACACTGCTCCATTCAGTTGCCCCTACTCCACCCCAATGAAGGGATTATGGGGTTGTTAAAAGGAGATGATGATGATTTTAATTTTTGCCATTTACATTTCATTCTGTCATTTCTTTAATGACTCTATTCCACCATTTCTTTGATATTAGTGTAACTCTTGTCCTGCAGTGTGTTGGCCATAGCAAATTGGCCATGATGAATTGTCATAGACCCATGCCTGCCAGTCAGCTCCTTTTCTGCAGAAGACCAGCCTCTAGGCCAGTGAGTCTTGCTGCAGCTGTCTTGTTGAGGACGGGGAGCACCCTCCTTCTACACCATTGGACACTAGAAGGATAACAGGAGAAAACAAAGCTAGGAAAGCTAGCACAAAAGAAGACACATTCCCCACAAACACACCAAGGGTGGACCTGACCAGAGACTAATCCAGGCAGTACTCTGGGTTCTTCAGTGGCCATTCAAGAGTTCTCACAAGCTGTGGAAGCAAGGAGGGATGGCTTCTCCCTGCCAGCCAAGATTGTTGTTGATGCTTTAGAAGGACCAAGCAGCAATCAAAATGAAGAGCAGATGAGACCAGGATCCCTTAGGGATTTTTGTCTCACTCCTCTTGCCCACCAAATATACTTCGGAGGTCTTCTAGTTCAACCTCCTGCTCAGGCAGGAGACCCTATACCTCCCACCTACACCTCCCACACTGTCATGGCTGCCTCTTTCCTATCCAAGCTTCATGAGCTGGGAGCTGGACATTAGCAACAGAGAGAAAGGGTCAACCCTGAAGCTGACCTGACCGAAGCCATTTTGAAGCTTCAGTGTTGCCACACTGGATCCAAGGGATAGGGAGGGGAGAGATAGCTGGGGATTTGTAGCCAAAACAAAACACTTTCTCCTGAGAACCAAGGACATTCCCACAGGGAGAGAGAGAGGAGGCATGTTGACACCAGGGAACCAGATGGCACCTTGATTAGACCATGTGACTGATTGTTTGGGAAAAGGGGGAAACTTTTACTTTTAATTAGATGAAAACCGCGGAAACCTTCAGAGTCGGTTTTCACCAGAATTGTGCCAATATGATACATCCAAATAAGCTATTCTTTGAGGAATCTACCTGCCTCGAAGTTTTGTCTGCTATGGGTGTATTACTTGGAACCCTGACTGAAAGTTTGGACTATAAGGAACAAGAAGGGTTGGGGAATGAAGCCCAGTTGAGCCTTGTCAACTATCCAGCCAGCCAAGATCAACTATCAATCTGTAGGGCTGGGAACTGAGAACCTGTTTCCTGAAAAATAGACAAGCACCTGATTGGACATTTGCAAATATCTGGGGAAAGGGGAGCGGGTTTGAGAGGAACATTTTGTATTGTTTGCACAAGAACATCTCAGATTCAGCTTCACTTCTTCTGTAACCACTTAAGCTTCAGTAAAGTATACTCTTGGCAAGGACAGATGGTTGGAAGTCTTTCTTTGCCAGATGACTGAGTGGGACAGTTGACACACGTTCTACTTCCTTTTTTACTCCCGGATGCCCCAATCTCCAAGCAGGGTAATTCTGAATGCAACTTGGCAAAGAGGGACAGAAATATCTTTTCATGCAAGCATAAAATCCTTGCTAGTCTCTACTGTTTTCTGTAATTTTCAAGTGGCCTAGCATGCAGGCACATTCTCTAAACTGGTGCCTTTATGTTACGTTTAATCACGGTTCCCAACCTACTCATTTAGGATTAGGCATAGTTATTTTAGGATGAGGCGTAGTTATATTGCATCTTTGCACAACCTCTTGTGTGGGCTGACTGTCCCAGGCCATGCTCAGTTCTAGGAGCTGGCCATGTCCTAGTCTCTCCTACCAACCTGGGTCCTGTGCCAGCCCATATAAAGGAGTCCACTTTGGTAAGACTACATTAGGAGAAAGGCTAGAGAAAAGGGAAGGAGCAGAAATGGCACCCAGAGTGCCAGCCAGACTGTATCTGTGACCCAGACATAAAAGAACTTACCAGGGGTGAAATCCTCCCGGTTTGGCTGAACCGGCAGGGACGATTGGCATCAGTTCTCCAAACCAGTGGCAAAAATCCCTGGTCGCCCTGCCCATGCCTGCCTGGTCACCCTGTTGCCACTCACCTCTTCTGGCTGCTCGACCCACCCACCCGATCCGAACGTTTCTCCCTCCATTCACAGCAGAGCTGCTGCAGCCTGTCTCTTTAAGGTAGACCCAGGGAGAGAGGGGGCTGGGGGGGAAACATAAAGGGAGCAGCAGCTCTGCTGTGAATGGACTCATACACACATGCCCACAGAATCGGTAGTAAAAAAAAATGACTTTCACCACTGGAACTTACCACAAATGGAACCGGTGGCCACAATGAAACCTGCCCAGGAATAGCCCCTCTTGTAGAAGGCGTCGGCCAAGGCTGAATCAGGGTCCAGCGAATGCCAGGGCACCATCAGCGTTAACACCATGGACACAAGGATATATGCTCCGGTGGCAAGGCTCAGTGAGATGGCGATGGCCCTCGGAATGGCCTTTTCCGGGTTCCGGGCCTCCTCGCTGGATGTGGCAATAACATCAAAGCCCACAAAGGCATAGAAGCACGTGGCTGAGCCGGCCATGATGCCAGAGATGCCATAAGGGGCAAATCCTCCCTCACTGGCACTCCAGTTCTGGGCCTTGGCCAGGATGAACCCCATGACCAGGATGAAGAGAATGACGCCCATGCTGATGGCCGAGAAGACGTGGTTGAGCCAAGAGGAGAAGCGGGCACCAAAGGAAATGAAGGCCGTGGCAATGAGCACAATGCCAGATGCCAAGAAGTCCGGATAATGGGCCAAGAAGGGTATGTGCCAAGTGCCAGCATGGGCTTCCGTGAAGTTCTTGATCCTGTGGTCAAAAATGGAATCCAGGTAGCCACTCCAGGCTCTGGCCACTGCTGCCCCACCAATCATGTACTCCAGAATGACATTCCAGCCGATGAGGAAGGCCCAGATCTCACCCACTGAGACATAGGTGAACATGTACGCAGAGCCCGTCTTGGGCACCTGGGCACCAAACTCCGCATAGCAGAGGGCAGCCAGCAGAGAGGCGATGCCCGCAATGATGAAGGACACCACGATGGCCGGTCCAGCTGTCTCTTTAGCAATAGTGCCGGTCAGCACATAGAGGCCAGAGCCCACCATCCCGCCAATGCCCAGCAGTGTCAAGTCGACTGTGCTCAAGCAACGGTTGAAGGAGGTCTCCATGAGGTCATCTTGCAGAGTCTTCACCCGGTTGAGCTTTTGGCAAAAGCGGGCCAGGTCTCCAGAACGAAGCCGCCTGGTTGCCATCTTGGACAAGAGGGCCCTTTCTTCCTTCACCCACCAAGAGTCAGAGGAGCCAAAGGTATTCTCCTGGCCCAAACAGGAGAAAGAAATTTGGTCAAAGCAGGATCGGGAAGAGGTGAAATCCCTGCTAGAGGCAAAAATAATAAGCCCAAGAAGGAGAAAAAAAGCAAAGTTCACCCCTTCCCCAGTCTTCCTCTGGGCATGAAGCGGAGCATGCGCAGAACATTAAAAACAGACAAAAAAACCTTGCCAACAAAGTCAGCAGCGACCGGGGAACCAATTTGGGGCGTGGCCAGCCTGGGTCGCTGTCGGTTCTACGACCCAGACCAACAAACCACTACCAGTTCGCCCAAACCGGTGTGACCCGGTAGCAACCTACTTCTGATATGAAGCAGGCAAATGAAGGATGGCTGTGAGCGTCTGAGCGTCCCAGTGAGGTTCTTTAAATCAGGGGTCTCCTTTTTTTGGTCAGTTTTTTTTAATTTTTATATTGCTTATACCAGTGTTTTTCAACCTTGGCAACTTGAAGATGTCTGGACTTCAACTCCCAGAATTCCCCAGCCAGCATTTGCATCTTCAAGTTGCCAAGGTTGAGAAACACTGGCTTATACATATCAACGTATATCAATGGGGTAATACCTGGGTATCATACATTTCAATAAAAATAAACATAGCATTATTACTCACAATCATTACATTTCATTTTCATTATTTCATATTATTTGTACATATCCTTTACCGCCATCCCTCAACTCTAACCCTTCTTCTTACTCTTTCATATATCTTAACATCTCTATCTCTACCTGTCTGTCTGCCTGTCCGTCTATATATTATAGTTTGCCCCTTATTGCTGTTTCTATTTTATCTTTTTTTTCCTTTCCTGTCACTATAACATTCAAAGATGGGATAATAACAAATATATTATTTCATTATCTAATCACTGTATTGTTTAATTCTAATCTTTCACTATCAACCATAGTTTTATACTTCTATCACTATCGCACTACATACAAATCAGTTATCCAACATATGCAGTATAATTCTAATATCCATACACATTATTAAAATACTTTCATGGCCTATTTTTTACTTTACATTCTCTTTCTTTTCCTTTTATCCCACATCTTTTGCCTGCATCCAAATTTTTAATCTTTCTTTTTGGGGGGGTGGGGGTTGCCTTCCATACACTTCTTTTAAATCTTTTTAAGTCTTTCATTTAGCAAAGCTGGCTGAGGAACTCTGGAAGTTGAAATCGACAAGTCTTAAAGTTTCCAAGGTTGGAGACCCCTGCTCTTAATAGCTGCTGCTCCATCTGTCCTGTAAGTGCCAAGGAGACAATGGCAGCACCTGTCACTGGAAACAGGCTGGAAACACAGGTATTCTTCCGCCAGGCTTGGTGCTGCTAGAGAGCCTGGATCAACACCCCTTTCAGGAGGCAGAAAATCTATCCTTCCAAAGGGGACCCTTTTTGGAGAGTTAGCAATGTTCTCTCTCCCTCCTTCTCCTCTTCCCAGATGGCTTCCTGGAACAAGGGTGGTCAGGATCCAGCCCCTGAGCCTTGATTTTGACACCCCTGCTCTAGAGTGACTGTGTCTGAGTCACTGACGGCCGTGTCTTGCAAAGACTGGGAAGGGGTGCAAATTTGGGACCTTCCTGTCCCATCCTTGTCTCTTGATCTGGTGGATGGGCAGAGATAACAATTCCAGAATATTCTGTACTGCGAGTCCATCTGTCATGCCTGCAAGCCATCTTTTCTTTTTGGACTTCAGGCCTGCCACACTTTGGAAAAATGGGAAGGGGAATTATGCGGAGTTGGGTGCTATGTAGCCATAACAACATTCTTCTTAGAAATCCAAGGTTGTCTTTGTCTTTGCACCTGGCTGGAACTGGATGAGAGGAATCTGTCTTTCTGGCAGTGGAAGATTGGACCATGGGATGGGCTGGTGGGTGTGGGGGCAAGATCTTGAACTTTCAACTGGGTGGGAAAACCTGGTAGCTTTCAGATTTGGGTTTTCTGAGATGTGCCAACGTGTCTCTCTTAATAAATTGGAACTTTGAGCAATACTTTGCCTCGGACTCTGATTTACTTTTGGATGCCATTTGGAATCCTGACACCATCCTTGGCAGCTATTGCAAAGGAGGATTCAGACATACAAGTAGCTCTTGACTTACAACCAATTGTTTAGTGACTGTTTGAAGCTCAATGGCACTCTAAAAAAATGACTTAGCTTGGGCTCTCACCCTCACAACTCCACAATCATGGGACCACAATTTGGGTGCTTGGCAACTGACATGTACTCGCAACCTTTCCAGCTAGCTTCCAAGAAGCAAAGTCAAAGGGGGAAGAAGCCACATTCGCTTAATGACCACGTGTTTCATATAACATCTGCAATGATTTGCTTGACAACTGGGGCAAAAAAGGTCATTGTTTCGGGCATGATTCGCTTAATAACTGCCTTGCTTAACAATAGACATTTTGGTTCCAGTTGTGATCATAAGATGAGGACGGGAACAGGAGAGTATGGCCAGGAGACAGGGAAACTAAGTTGGAAAAGTGCTGGGACTCAGTCTTTAAGGAAGGCATCTAAAGCTGGCTGGGAAATTCTG